TGGGGTGGGAGGATGGGAAGTGGGAAGAACAGCGCCCAATAACAGCAAAATTGGAGTCAAAGAATAGATGGCTCATAATCAGGCAACTTTCGCACAATCAATCTTCATCAGAAAAGTCTTGTAACTCATGAAATTTGCCAAGAGCTCCTGAAAGCGTCGTGGACTGGCCTCGGTCAGATAACTTGGATGTAAATCCAACAAATACAGCTTGATCCTCTCTAGAGACAGTAACAAGAGGTTGTTGCTGGATGGCAGCATTATCAGGAGCTGGTTCAAAATACTGCCGATCCCTCGCATGAGATAACTCCACATAAAATGGTGCCCTTTCGTGGCGAATACTGTCTGTAACAGTGACCCCATCAAAAAAGTGATGTCGCAAAATTTCTTCAAACCCATAGCGCTCCTCTGGATCAGCAATTAAATGGGTAATTAAATCAACAGCATCGGATGACAATGCATCAGGCTCCTGAGGAAAACCTAAATATTCTTTAAAACGAACTATTTTTTTGGCCGTAACTGTTTTGCTGTCACTAAAAAATGGTGGATATCCGCAAAGCATTTCATATAGGATGATTCCCACACTCCACCAATCACACGAATAGCTATATCCCCGGCCAAGCAAAACTTCAGGGGCAATATATGCCGGAGAGCCAACAGTTGAAAAGAATATAGCTCTCCTTTCCTTCCTATCCTTAAAACGGGATTTCGTGTCGGCAGCATCATCACACATTGCAGCATAATCCAAACGGCAAAGGCTCTCCAACCACTCTGGATCTCTTTTTGACAAACCAAAATCAGCTAACTTTATATGACCATCTCGATCAATGAGAATATTGTCAGGTTTTACATCTCTATGGACATAACCCATTTTATGTAGAGAGTTCAAAGCCAAAACGAGCTCTACTATATAAAATTTTGCCGTGCTCTCTGGAAAGACGTCTTGACGAATCAGCCAAGAAATCATGTCTCCTCCAGAACAATATTCAGTTATTATATAAAGATATTCTGGGTCCTGGAACGTGACGACGAGATCTGTAACCCATGGACAACCTACCCGTCTCTGTCGTAATTTAGCATCCGAGAGAAGATCACGTTCAGTGTGAATATTAAGAGACTGTTGACGTTGTATAATCAAGTCTTTGCGAATTTTTTTCATGGCATATATAACTTCTGGATCGTCGGGTCTCCAGCATTGATAAACCTCAGCAAAGGAACCTCGTCCGATAACATCACCAACACAAAACTCATCCACAGAATGCTTCTTCTGACGAGCGTGTGAATGCTCAATTGCAAAGGTTTTCCTATCGCCCATCAGACCACGAACGTAATATTCCCCAGTATACTTTTTGGCCACAACGACCTTCGCATCGGTACCAACCTTTGACTTGGCATCCTCGGCCATTATTATTATTTTTCCTTCCTTGCTGTTCTTCTAGAGGAAAGAAATCAGAAGAAGATAAAAATATAAAATAAAGCATAGACAGAAAGAAAATATATCCATATCGTAAGTTTCGCAAAAAGCTTCTCATAATTTCCAGAACAAAACGAGTAATAAAAATGAAAAGAAAACCGCACACAATCCGTTTAGTTGCAAAAAACTCCTCACGATAAAAAAAATCAAATAAG